TTTCAGTAATGTCAACATGATTTCACGAGAAAACGTAACTATTTTACAAGGTGGCAATTTCGTATTAATTGCCCCTCCCCCTTGAGGTCTTTGACGTCTTTTCCTGTTTCTTAGTGTTGGGGAGTGAAAGCAGCAACGCTACTAACTAAACATTCATCAGGAGTGTGACAGTAACTCAGCTGCTCTCCACACACAGTAGCTTTTCTAGTAGCTAGTAGCAGTGTAGTGTGACATTTGTTGACTTCTTTGGGTACACCTTCACAGCCGTGTGAACTGAGGCGTTAATCAAACCTGCTCTGCTAAAACATCCACACACATGTGGCTCTGGGAAGTCTATTTTTTTTCTAGTTAATCAGTTTGTTGTTTTTGAAGCAAATTCTGTGGCACTGCTGGTTACCCAGCATGCTTTGCGGCTGGGGTCAAATCCTAACGAGTTTGATCTGATTACTTCCTAGGACTATAAAAGTGTGTGAAATGAGTTTAGAGGGGTTTCATAGTTCAATATAGAGTAGTTGCAGATTTCAATGCAATATAGCACGTTATAATGTGTGTTACCATTGTTGAGATTTGTAGTCCAAAAATGTTAGTGTTGGATTGCTGATGGTTGTATTTTTCTTTCTTTTTTTCATGGTTATATCTGTTTTTATCATGATTCTTACTGCTGATATTATAGCATGACATCAATAAAGTCATCCTAAATATAACAAACATAACATTTTGTTATTATATAATTATATATATATATATATATGATTAGCATATATGATGACCCTGATAGCACACGTACATCATGGAGTCTATTTGGCGCCTGCATTTACATCTGCAAGACGTATTTTTTAAGAGTGTTTTCTCATATGCAATACGTCTATAGGATGTTTCCTATCAGATGTCAAATAGACATTTAGAAAATCTTTAAGATATTTATGATTTAGAATGTATGTACAAATGACATCTTAAAGACGTCTATCAGATGTTTGCATACAGCAGATGCTTTCCAGGTGAAGCGATGTTTAACAGACATCTTGTGTGTGTATATATATATATGATTAGCAACATATGAGTTTCTGTTAGCTACTTTGTTTTCAAGTTTGTAGCACTTTTTTAACTAATCATTGTGAAATAGCCATCCGGATTTATCATTTGAAAGATTTACACATTTAAAAAGATTTCATCCTCTTAAATCTTCATTGTAGTTTGCTACACAACCAAATGTAGCTAACTACTTTTTCAGAAGGTTAGTTTGACTGTAGCTTGAAGCGTTGGAAGCTACAGTTTCATAGTGGCTTCCAACCCTGGCTTTGGATGAAAGCTACTTGTTCAGCTATCTGCTAAATGAATGCATAAAACTGTGTTTGAGACATTTGACTCTTAAAATGCCAAAATGTAAGGCAAAACACAAACTGAGCTTCTCTAAAGCTGTCAACATGAAATCAAAATTAACATAATGACATTTTTAATGCATGCTCCTAGTATTATTGTGAACAAAGGTAATACACACACACACACACACACACACACACACACAT